GGGGGGGGTGTATCTGGAATAATATCTCAAAACAATACAGTCCTTTAACTACATATGCAATAATTCATCTTTCTTGGAATTCGTCTTTATTGCTCAAATTGCTTGTATATGAAATCAAATCTGTGTAGTTGCTCTCATCACATGTGCTCGTCATATTTAATCTCTGCCATAAAGCAAGCCACTTCACATAATGATAGACATTTTTCCTCATTGCGAAATACTCGTTTTGAATTTGTGCCGATTGCTAAGAATATAAATGTATCTCTCTAAATATTAAGTATTCCCATTATTTACAGGTGTTGTGATAAATCAAGGTTTCAATTAAAATTCTATTTGTACAAAAACATTTGCCGGAGCTCATTTTAGAAGAAGTGCTCGCTATAGTGAACTTAGGTAGGGTGTGTGGTGGTGAGGGGTAGGGGTAGGTATCCTGAGTCATTTATGGGGGGGGGGGAGTGAAGCTATCCTATAGCCATCGATTTTGTTGGCCAAAATTTTGTCATTTCGATTAATCATCCACGTTTCTTAGATGTGGACCAATTAGCCATTAGTCTCATGGTGTTGAACACTTGGCCACAGGTGGATTGACAGTTCTTTAGACGTATGTCTTTCAATTTTGCACGAAGCCTCTTTGATGCCTCCCTATTGGCCCATCACCACTTTTGTTCTCAAATGTTTGGGCTCCATTTTGTTTTTAGCAATAACTTGACACTTTCCAGTAACTCCCTATAAATGTGCTGCTGATCTTAATGGAAAGTCACTTTTTCCCGTCTCCGGTTGTATGGTTTATTCGAGTTTCATCAAAATAATTTCTTTATGTAATCTGATCGACCATATTTTGTAAACACTATCATTGACGTTGTAGTGGCCATTTGTGCCGAACACTCGCGTATTTGAACTGAATGAATTAGCCATATATTTATGTTTATTTTAATATCTAATTTAGCCTAAGAGAAATCTGTTTATGCAGCCTTGAAAAGTCTCGGTCTTAGAAGTAAAAGAAAAAAAACAAAGGTCACTTAGCCAACGACAGAATTGAATCAAGCGATCATTAGTCTCTGAATAGAATTTCATTCAAGAATCTAGAAGTCCACGTAGTGAATGCGCTCATTAGAGCAAAATTCCGTATCGTTGTGTCGTTTCCCATATTCAGTTATTTTTTCCAGCATTAATAATTTCATCCTTCTCATTGAATTTTTTGTTTTAGTCTTAACTTCTGAGAGCATTCCAGTAATTTGGCTCTTCTCTCTTTACTAAAACACATTTTATTTAAAACTTTATTTACTAATAATCAGATAATCCTGTCAATTCACCTTAGAATTGTGAATGCGTAGTATATGAGGTTTCACATTTTTGCAATATTAATTATTTAAAGGACTTTTTTTCTTTGATTAGCACTTCATTTTCATGCCTTTTCGAGGAAGGCGTTTTTTTTATAATAACCGTCACTAAGTGCCGAACTTGTGAACTCTGTCTTAGTAGACATTGGCATTGAACACGATTGCACCAATAGGAACTTACTCATCTTTACATCGAAGGACGACTCGTTTTCTTCGATTCTTTTATTAATTAGCTTTACTGGTTACGCTTGGGTTTTCCGTTCACTGTATGGGCGCACATTTGTTCCGTTTTCTGACTTGTCAGTCATGAACTTTGACCACTTTGCCATTGGTGTGCAGTTTCAGTCCCGCTGTAAATATATTTGCAAGAATTGGGCTTATTTCATCGTACTTTTAAAACCACTTTGAAAAAATCTAATGTACTTTCTGTATTTGAAATGGAAATGGCTGATTGATTAATACCAGCAGCATAAATACAGTAAATTTATAAAATGAATAAGAAAATCATTTGCTTTCAATAACTAGGCCTGATTTCGTAATTATCGTATATCGATGTGGAAGTTACTTAAAATCCCTACCCACATGCGTGTGTGTGTGGAGCTGGATAATATTTAGTGAAAATTTAAAAGCGTTCGATGGCCTTGTCTACCTAACTTTATATAATCTAATCGGAAATACATCTGAAATTTTCGGAGCGCGTCTTATGTGGATCACGTCTTATCATAGTGTTAATTAAAGCTAATTAATTAATCGAATTAAACAAATTTGTCATGAAGAGAGCTAGCTAATCTTACTTGCTTTGGCATGGCTCATATGTTAGGCTTTATGATACTTATCGTTAGCCTTTTAGTTGATTTCGGGCTTCACAGAGGGGAGGAACATCAAATTCACAAAAAGTGGAGAGGGCGGGGGGAAGAATGATTCACAGATGCTAAAGAGACAGACAAAGGTAGGGCAAGGTGAGCACTGTGGAAATGGTCTAATATGACACTCAGTGGTGTCATGGTAGTTTGAAGTCAGAAGTCAACCGCCAGTTTATGACTTATTTGGCGTGTGTGTATACGCTGTCCAGTGTGCACCACATGGAGGTAAGTCTATCGCGCATCCCAGAGGGGGGGGGGTTATATCATGTGATTTGATATTTAGAGTCTTGTGGGTGGCCGTCGTTACTAGTTAGGAATTGTTTAACTTCGTTAATTACATTAATAAAAGAAAGGGCAGATTTGAGTCCTAAGTCGTCAACATTTTGTGGTCAACGATGCCACGTTGTAATTGATATCTTGGGATTGTTCCCGTTTAACTTTAAATTTGTTGGGCTGTGAAGTTCGAAAAAATATTCCACGAAGAAATGCCTTCATTCCTTTACATTTTGCAGTGGTCTATGTCACTAACCAGTCAGAAGAAAGCGTATATCTGAACTATAGATACCTTTATAAGATTTCCTAGGGACAAATTTTCTATTTTCCAAGCTCTGGAATGATATTTAGGCATAAGCTAGGATTTTCTCATGGAACAAATCAATGCTAACTCTATTACTTTCTGTAGAACAACTGCACTCTCATGCTCATGGTTCCCACAAATCTGGGCCAATGGAGCGAAGCGGCTTGCAGTACGAAGGCTCATTTTATCTGCGAGGCAAGGCCTAGTAAGTTTGCACTACTTATTATATTGTCAGTTATTAACAGATCACTGCCCACATTTCATTTTATTTTTATTTTTAGCACGTGTAAAAGCGAACCTAGACAGTCACCCTCACGATATCCTCTTTATTCAGGGGCGTTGTGCTTCAGGATTTTATGAATATCAAAGTGCTTGCTACACTCTTATGCATCACCCGGAGTCATCAAGTCGTATTGCTGAACTCAAACCTGATCGAATATCGACAGCCTGTTCTGAAACTGTCTTGACGAGAAATTGCACCGATGAAAACCTTGGAACTGTCCTCTGTCCGATTCCCATGTCACCCAGAGATCATAAGCATGCTTCCTACCAACGCTCTCTCATCGACAAATTCGGAGGAAGTGCTGAATCGGCTTGGGTTGGCCTCAAGGGAAATAGGTTCCATGTTTATGTAAGTTATTATTTTTTTTACCCTAACACGTAGGTCGTGAGCGTGGTATCCAATTGACGCGTCATCAACAAAAGCATTTGACTAATCTTGCTCTTTATGGAATGCGTTGGCAATGCATTTTGGACAAAGAGAAGGTGTTGGCATAGTTTGTTGTGTTGGTGACGCAGTAATTAACGTGTTTGTCTGCAAAATCAGAGGTTACGAGTTCACTACCCATTGGTGCACACTCGGTGAACGGAATGATCAACGTTTTTACTAGAATTTGGTTTGTGAATTGCCTCCTCCATTTTTACACATCGGATAATTTATCTCCGCTGAGTTCAGTTATATTATCTGCTATAAAAAGTTGTTTTCCTGTGCTTGAGCACCTTTTTCTATTGTATTATTGTAATCTGGTGCGAGGTGGACAATGTTGTAACTTTAGTGTGGGATAACCACTGGCAGAGGTTAATAGTGAATTCGGTATTTGAAAAAAGGGGTGGTGGGTGGAGGGGGCTGAGAGGATCAAAATTGGTTCAAGGTTTTACTGAATCTTTTTACCTTGTTCCAGTCGTTTAGTATTTCCTTAATGAGTGTAGTTAGAGAATTTTCCATTTTGATAAATGAACAAATTCCTGTCCTCTAATGGTAACTCGAAAAGTTAATGTGGCTTGACCTAGATAGGTCTGGTAAATATGACCCGAATTCTCCGTATTTGTCTTGTTCTATCAAATAGCCATATTGAGTGTCTTCATTGTTCAAAAATATGCTCATTCTGCTAGATTGTTAGCACAAGCATTTTCCTACGGCGTTAAAAAAAGATTGTGATCTTCCTTCTAAAGTGTTTGTGACTAGTGTGAAGGACAAGTTCTAACTTGTTTAGCCTGTTTTGCTTTGGATCAGAGGGAATCGAAAGTTTGAGCTGTGAAAGCATTTGTTTAATACTGATTAAATGGACTAACCTTCAATTTGTTTAATTTAACCCCGATAGACTGATGCTCCAGGACTTTTGGAGTCAGCAGCCTTTGTAGATCACAGCACCCTCAAAAACGAAACCTCTTGTTTCACTCTCAACAAGAATAAAATGCTTCTAACTTCGGAGTCCTGTAGCGCACAACTTCCGGCTATTTGTGGCTACTTCCTTGACACACATATATTCTCTCCATGGTCACCCCCTGACGTCAAATTGAATACTCCCATTTGTAAAGATGGCTGGGTGCATTATGGTTCCTTCTGTTATCGTCTCGAATACGCTACAAGTCTTAGCTGGTCCGATGCTGAACTTGCCTGTGTTCAAAACTATGGGCACCTGGTCTCAATTGATTCTGAAGCTGAAGATAGTTTTATCCGATCTCTCATTCCTTCAAACCTCACTGGCAAACCGTGGATTGGTTTGACGGTTATTCGTAAGTAAAATCTTTCATTTTTGGCATCTCTATATGCATACTCCCATTCTATTCACCAGTGGGAGTTTTTAAGCAATGTATATGAGTAAAAGCATGGACATAAATCGTATTTTGCGTTTTACTAATATTGATAATAACAATTCTCTCCCCCCTGTCTTTTTAGACAATAATGACACCTCCACGATGCATTGGTCTGATGGAGCGGTGGCCACTTTTTCCAAGTACTTTGCAGATAAGTTTTATCCGGTGGATAGAGAGTGCGCCAGGTTGGATGTTGTGTATGGAGAGAACGTGTGGACCGTGGATCATTGTTCAACACCCGCGCCCTACATCTGCAAAGCCATGGCTACAGCTACTGCTATGGACTGGAATATTAAGGGTACAAGTAAGTGCTTGGCAAAGCGGTCTTTTGATCTTTTATTTGATTTCCCGATCAATACTCATTCACTTATTTTATGCGTTCCAAGAATGCTATAACCTGTGGGGTGTGTGAGATAAAAAGCCTGCAAAGGAACATCATATAGTTGAGCCATATTAAAGGGTAGAAGTAAAACATCTATCCAACCCTTTCGAGAAGGAAACTGGAAACACGAAGCATATAAAGGTACAAATAATGAGTAGAAGTGGTTGTCTTGTCTGTATGACTGCATCTTCTGGATCCGAATGTGAACTGAAGATGGGTGTCTCCTTTTGTGTTGGGTTAGATGGGTTCTAATTTTTCCTTTGGCTTGCAAATGAAGATAATGAAGTTATCTTGGCTAATGAAGTTATTAGTGCGTTTACTGTCTTTCTCATCCTTGCAGCTCACTGTCTACCAGGAAGCCATCCAGAGTACTGTTTCAGTTTGAACAAAACAGTCATGAGCTTTAAAGATACCTCTGCTGCCTGTAGAGGTAATGGACAAAGCATGGCCACTATTTTGGACGATACTCAACAAAATTTCATCACTCAAGCCATGCGAAGTGTGAGTATTTCTTGTTTGTCCTTTATTGTCTTGATGTGTCGGTGTTTATTTGATAGAAGATCATGTTTCTTTTAAATCCGTTTGTCATAATAGTGTATTTCAATACCGAGATGCATGACTCAGCATGGAAACCTTATTAACTCCATTGCAATGCACATTTTATCAGTTCACTTTCTCACCAAAAAATTTCAGTCGGACATGGAGATGTCTAAGTGCCCCAATATAGGTCGCATAGCCTGAAGAAGACTTGTTTAGAGCATATCTCACAGATGGCAAATATCAGTAGAATTTATGACAGATTGAAATAATGGCGAAAGTGCTCTATGGTTCATGAGGAAACGATCGAATTTTAATGTGGGTGCGTTTTTACCGGCCAGCTTCCCCATTGCTCCATATGATTCTTTGCTTAATTTCCTTCCGGTGCTCTTAGTGAGGGCGCATTTGCTTCACTTGGGAAGCTAATCAAATTACTCTCCGACTTTAATCACCAATGAGATTTAAAGGGGGTTTGAACAGGGCATTCACAAGCTAATTATTTCGCCAATGCCGATTGATTGTGCTAATCAGATAAATAATAAGTTGGAAGAAATATGATAACTTCCTTAAGGACTACAAGGAAATTAAGGTGAAACGCCTCGTCATTAAGTTCTTAAATTAGTACATTAAGTATGGGCATGGCTCTATATCCTAGCACTGAAATAACTTAATATTGACCACTCCTATGACATGAGGCCATGATTGTTTATATTTTCCTTTAGTTGTTGGCTCCTGACTTGGCTAAAAACATTCCTACAAGGTATTGGATTGGGCTTGTTCGATCTTCTGAATCTCTGCGTTGGGTTTCTGGCTATCCCGCAGTTCCCAACGTCTACTGGAAGACTGGGGTTGAAAAATCCACTGGTACTTGCGCCTACTTAGATGTCGGTAGGTAATGGTATTGAACGTGTGTGTGTGTGTGTGTGTGTGTGTGTGTGTTCTAACTTCGTAATTTTTTCACTAACCCCAATTTGGGGAATTTGTTTTTTTATCGTTTTCACATAGTCATGATTGAAATCCTGTTAATGATTTGTGATTCTTAATTCTAATTTACACATTATGCCCATCGTAAGCCACTCGAGATTTAGTCATGGAACCTGGTGATGTAATGCAATTCTGCAATGATTCTCGGCCAATTTTGTACTAGAACAAATCGAGAATAATTAGACATTTACATATTTCTAAAAGTTGTTGCGTTTTAAGGGAGATGTATGCCATCATATACGTTTGGTACTTAACAGTTATCAGTGTGTAAGTCAGCATTGTGTTCTTATGGCCACTTTCCCTCACCTTGTGGTCTGTTACATTTCTTTGCTCTTTCAGTCTATACTGCCTGGTTGGAGAACAAATAGCAGTTATAATCGTTTATTTTAGGGACATGATGCCATTGCGAAGTTATTTCTTAAATCGGCCAACTAGGTATTAGTAAGAGGGTAGGTCAATTTAAGCAGGAAAGATAAAGGCGGTTTCGAGAAATAAGTTGGTCAATCGAAAGCCCAACTTGGTTGATTCACTCTTGGCCCTCTCAGGATCGGCGTTGTACCAGGCAATCTGTATTTTTTTGATGTCTTAGTAGGTAGGAGACTAAGGTCAGGCTGAAGCAACATTGAATCAGAAAATGTGCGTGAGAAACAGTTTAAAATTGAAATCAATGTTCCATTGAAGGAAATTTACTGGTTATATAGAAATAGGGTTTTGAACAGACCACGTTTTCTATAGAATGTTTGATCGTGTATACTTCTACTTATAATGGACTTTCATAAAGTTGTGTTTTGGCATTGCTTATTATATTGTACTATAGCCTTTCTCTTACCATAGCACTTATTTTTAACCGTTTCATGCGGATCTTATTGTCTATCATTACCTTGTGGATCCAAAAATAGTGTTTCTCAACATCGACTTCTTTGTTAGATCTTTTTCGCTTTACCTCTCCCGTGGAAATATTCGCTTGGTGTACTCGCAGCCTTACAAATTCATTACAACTGTTTTGATGAGTACATAGATTTCTTTCACTTTACTAATCAGAATTTGTCAATGTACCACTTTATCTTTGCTATCGGGCTACTGTCTTATCCACATTCATTCATTCATCTTACTCCTCCCTTTCTCGTCTGTTAATGACTCTCAATTTTTCCTTCCTGTAGGCATCAACAGTATGCTCAATTGGGGCTTAGGGACTTGTAATGAGGAGTATCCTGTAATCTGTTCAACAGTACCGAAGTTACCACAACCTTCAGCTACAATTCCACAAGACTCCAACCGCGTCGACAAACAGTACTGTCCTTTAGGCTTCCTTCATGTTCGTGGCAAGTGCTACAAGGTATTTTTAACTTCCCCCATTCTACTTAAATTTTATAAGTAAGCAGGAATTTTCAGATTCAATTGACGGTTATAGGTTGAGGGTGATGAGCGCAATAAGTACACGTTCTTCCAAGCGATGCACAAGTGTTCCAACCTTTCTGGTCATCTGGCTACTGTATCTTCTATGCAAGAACAAGGTAAGATGCAATAACGCATACTTAATTAATATCAGTGGTATTTTGAATTAACGATATTTATTTTTTTGCTCTCTCAAGATATCATCACAGTGTTAATTGGTCAGGGGCATGTGCCATTTTGGATTGGTTTAATAACTTCTCCAACTGGTCACTATACCACCTGGACTAATAATGAACCAATTACATATACCTATTGGAAGAAGGGTTTTCCTTTTTCGACCTCCGGTGTAAGTTTAATCCCTTGCCGTAGCATTTAAGGCGTAATAATAGTGAAAATTCTTTTTCCTTATCATTTTTTTATTATTCAGGTTAAATGTTAAAACCATTTGTAGTGTGTGACTAGTGATTTATACTCCTGGAATGAATAATTGTATAATCTCTTTGCACGTTAGGTATAGCACTTAGGAGAGACTGAACACGTCTGTATTGTAGTCATATAGGCTTGGATTTGTATTTAATAAGTTAACTAGCAGATAAATATCTACGGTTTTTTGAACCGGCAGTAAATAATCTTCGGAATCGATTTGCAATATCGAGTTCTGAATAAAGCTATTGATGGCATTAAAGCTATATAAATTGTGCCACACCCAGAAATCCCTTTATAAGCTAAACGGTTTCCCCATAGATTAACATTAATACGCGAGAATATGAAAAGTAGAGTTTGAAAAAGTGAATATTGCGTGAATACAACGGAGTGAAAGAAGGATGAAGGTAATAGTGAAGTATAGCAAATTGCGTATTTTTCAATTGAGAGCAATTCAAGTTGCGATAAAGGTTTGATGAGTGAGTTTATATATGAGTCGTCGCGTGCGCACTAAACATTTATTTTTGATAATTTTAAGTATCTGCCATAAAATCCCAGCATTACTTTTGCACTGTCTTTTTTGTAGGGAAGCTCACTTTGCACTTATGTAGAGATTAAATCATCCGAAATTGGCAAATGGGCTGGGATTGGTTGTGACACAAAAATGGGCTTCATATGTGAAACTGGTAAGTCAAACTTGTAGATGGAAGTTTGTCCAAATTGTTCTTCTAATTGATGTTTATTACTTTCGAGCTTAACTTAGTTGGGTTTTTCAGGCTTATTTCAGGTGGTGATTTGAGTCACAAATTTGATTTAGTTGCAATCTATTTTTTAAGTCCAATCTGGCAGCGTGTGGTAAGGTCCTCTGTTATAGTAGGTGCACTATAGTTGAGTGAGTGAAAAGATAGGCTAACTAGACATTTATATTTGTCTGCTTAGACTAGATAGGCTTTATTGAAGGAGATAGGAGTCCATTTATTCGCCTCGCATTTGGTATGGTCGAATATGAGACCAATAATTGAACTTGCTGAAGAAAAAGGAAGAATATGATTGGTCGGATTGCGAACTAATCGATGAGTAACTGCTTGCTTCATTGATGCGTCATAATTTCTGCGTGGTATTCTCGTCGACTTTAAATTTGCATACATGTCAAAAAGTTTTTCCCTTTTCCCTATCAATGTGTCTAATGGAAGAGAAGGAATGCTATAAGACTTCAAGAGCTATGCTTTCGAGCTGCGATAAACAAAAAGTACTTCCTACTGCTTACTAGAATTTCTGCAGTATTCACTCAGTACCTACGTGTCAAGCCGCTAGTTGACATCCCTACTGTTCCATAATAAGAAGGAAGACGAGAGAGTGATTGACCACGCCTTGATGGACTAGCACAAGAAGGAATTGCTTTTTGGTTGTCTGTCACTCAAGGAGAAAAAGGGAGGAAGTGCTTATTCTTTTGGAGGTAATTAGAATTGAACATAATCTACCATATGTTGAATAAGACGGGCGAAGAAGCATTGAAAACTGCTGTTTTTTCGATTGGTATCGATTTTCCTGTCATTTTTTATACAAGATGGAGTAAATGCTGTTGCGCGGGAGGAAGGTTTAGAGATTCGTAGGCATGGGATTAAATAGCTGTAAAGCCATGAAACACTAATCATCTCGTAGCATTTGGAATTATTCATGGATTTGCGTAATTTATACCACTTTAAACATAAGAAGAGTTGGTCCAGCCAGCGAATATCGCTAATCTCCTAAATTTTTGGTCCCTTTTGCGTTTCATGGTATTACGCTTATTTACCGCTTACTGACCACAAGGTAGTTCTCTTATGGTTTAATAAATCTTCACTTTCCTTACAGAATCAAGTGATGCACCCTCTGCGCAAGTCACAACTCCGCATCTTTTCAGCCAAGAGGACTGCTTGCCAGGTTTCTTCCACCACCGTGGTGCCTGTTATAAGGTTCTTGAGACGCAGTCAACTCGTAGTTCCACTAAGCTCTATGATAACTTAAGTGCAATTTGTGCTGCTTCTGTTAATTCTTCCTTATCATGTGAAACAACTCGGGGACTTGCTGGTTGTCCAGTTGTCATGACACCCCACTCACATTCAGAGGCCGCTTTCATACGTCTTCTAATTTCTGGGACACAAAAGACTCCATCTGGAGTTGAAGCTTGGACTGGAATGAAGATTTTAAGTAAAAATGGACAGGTTGGTGGCTGATAATTGCAATGAGGTTTTGTTATTTCTTAGTTATAGCCATCCCTACCCCCCACCCCCAGATTCGAGGTTATGCGGAGTAGAACTGATCTTCAATGGAGAGTAGTGATGGCATCATCTGTATCCAAAAAGGGGTACTTAGGTGAAATGCTCTTTCATTTCCGTTTTTCGGAGGGTGGTTTAGGTTGGGTTGGGTTCAGAATATCACATAATTGCACAATTCTAATGAAATAGACACGAAAAATTATTTTTTAAGCGTTGCAGACTTTGAACGTAGCATCCGCATTACAGACTTGCTTTGTTTATGGCTCTACCGAAATTCGCAAGTGTTGTGGCAGAAAATAATGTTGATCAGGAGTCATCATATGAGTCACCGGGTTTTTAGGTTTCAGGAATTGTGAGTCAGGACTAATATTGGCGGCCAGCAGTAGACATTCACTGCACAAAGCCATGCAAAATACTATGATTTGAATGGGTACCAAGGTCTATTGTATTACCACAGTTAAGTGTATGTGCGTGTGTGTGTGTGTTTCATAGAGAAGGAGTATCGTAGATAGGTGGAATGGTTCCAGCAATGATAAATGTAGATTGTCAAAGCGATTTATCACGCTAATTAAAATAAAGCACTTGAAGGCGTGTGGTGTTTCCCTAAGAGAGGCTTAAAGGCACCCAAGTATTACACATTTCAAGCATCACTGTCAGCTTTGCAGCCGTCTTGAGGTTCTTTCTGAGTTGAGCACTTCAGCCGCTACTGTGAGGTTGAAATGCTTAAGTCCCAGACGCATGGAATAAAATGCTCGTCTGTGAAGTTAGTGGCCACTGGCTAAGTGGGCAGACGTTTTTTGACACGGAAGGAGAACATCCAACCCGACTTATTAAATCTGGCTAATTGAGGTGGGTGTTCGTCGAATACCATAACCTAAATGGGTTTTGGGAGTTATTAATGCTAAACGAGAAAGCAAAGCATGTCGCTACGGGAACTCAGGTAGTAGTTTATCTTAGTTCACACCAAGGTCACACTATGCCAAAGTTTACATCACTCTCCCCTTTCTCAGAAAATCCCCCCCCCCCTTTCAGAAAATCATACAAACGGAAGACGGTGTGGATTTAAAGGATATGGATCTGGATTTCTCGCATATTGAAAGTGCAGCTGAGGGAATGGGCGAATCGTCCTTTTTCTCTTGTGTGTCTTTCCACACAAATGGCTCCCACTTGACTATTCAGCCTTGTTCTAAACCGGCGTATGCTGTCTGTGGTTACTATTTAAGTAAGTAAATCATTTTATAACATACTTTAAACACGTAAGGTGGCATCTCCCTTTCTCTTAGACAATAGCCTATATGATCAAACAGCACTGTATCTCCGTAGAAGGGAAGTGAGGGCCATACTAAATCTCTAAATCTAGGTCGAATCGGATGTATGCGTTCCCTAATCAGATGAACTTAAATTATGAGGTTAAAACAATGTAAGTGAATGCAAACCCTCGTTCTACGAGGTCAGATAATTCTCCTTAATGTGTGAAGGACTGATGGTGTAATGACAAAGGTATCCTGGCGGCAATGTAGTCAAGTAGAGTTTTTGGTTTCGCACTCCATGTCCACCAACTTGCCTCTTTGGTGCACGACTCTTTGTTCAAATAGGCAAAATACTTTTCGCCACTAGCCCATGATTGGCCAGGTTTCTATTCGATTTACACGCAGAATTAACGTAAAAATAGAATTGAGGCAAAGGTGGGAGGGGGGGGGGTTTGTGCTTAGCCCACAGATGAAGCCTTACAAATGTCTGTTTACTTCAGATATGCTTCGTATTACAGTTTCAGTGGGACTGCCCGTTCATTTATTATATGCAACTTCAGATATTCATCCTGCTGTTTTCAATAGTTAGTATTCTATTTCCCTATCTCCACTGCACATCCACTATCTGAATGGCTTACTTAGCAAGAACCTTTGCGAGTTTGTTTTATAACTACCATTCATCAGCATATGCGCTATGTTCAAGGGTCCGGATCTTTTAGCTTCTATTTGATTTGATCAGTCAGCGTATGCCTCTCTTCCAAGATAAGTTGGAGGGTTTTATTGATGACCAAAGACTCTTTCTTGAAACATGCCTGGCTCCTTGTTACTATTTCTAATTTCTCGTATTCTCCCCCCCCCCCCCCCACTTAGATACCCATTCCTTGCATAGACAAGTTGTCGACTCCAACAATTACAAATGTCCCCCGGATACACAACTTGTTGGCCGAAATTGTATCCTGCATACATCCAAACGGTACTCTTGGTTTGCCGCTGAACGCTTCTGTAACCAATTGAGTGATGTTGCAAATCTAAAGGCTTCCATTTCTGGCCACCTTCTCTCAATTCATAACAATGATATGCTCAAGTACATTACAACTTTGAAGGAACCCGTTTGGATTGGTCTTACCTCAAAGCGTAAGTTTGCAAATATCGGTCTCTTATTCTCGATAATGTAACAACAAAGCATTTCACTACCGGTCAGCCGAGGTACTTTAGTAGTCCGCCAAAATTAGCATAGACAATGGTGTTTCCGAAAAGGGTGGACCATGAGTTGAATTTAACCTCGGATTTTTTGAGTATGAAAAAAGGAAAATTGACAAAGAAGCAATCGATCTCGTCGAGGTAGTGGACTCCGATTTGTGGTAAACACGATAAATTAGGAAGCACTATGAGGAAAAGAACATTCCTGATTTCGTTATGTATCCATTCGATTAATAGGAGACGTAGATGTATGGTCGTCGTTTGTGTACTGGAATGCTACGCCATTATGCATTGGCATTGTGTTATAAGCCTGATTTATAGCTAAGATGAAAGATATAGATTACAGACGTTTCACTAAGACCGAGGTCAGCACAATTCGGCTTCATTTTTCAGTTGCTCAAACTCAGAAGAGGCAATCAGACTGGCCCTAAATTTTCTACTACTTATTGCGCCTAAGACAGTATTTAATTTACTGATTGTTTCCATAGTTGGAATTTCTTTGACATCTCAATTCTTTTCTCACTAATGACTTTAATTTTTCCTTCCCTCCCTATCGGTTTACAGCCGAGTTTGGCTACGGAGGAAAATTAGAATGGACAGATGGAAGCCCGGTTGATTATGTAGCTTTCGGACCCTCGGAGAATATGGGCACCTTTATTAAATCGCATCTTTGTGCCGCTGTCGATCCACAGACCGGTTTTATTAAGGGTGAACCTTGTGACGCCAACCTCCTCTTTGCCTGTCAGTATCCGCTCGAATCGTTCCCTAAACAACAATTGCCTATTTGTAAGCTTAGCTTGTTTCATTGCAAAATAATTCATTGGCTTAATTTTGATAATTGCTTTTTATCCCTAGTGGCTGGTGAATATCTTCCCGCTGTTGAGAATTGTCCCGTCAGATTCTCTCTAGAGACCAACAGGGCATGCTATGCCATTGTGGACTCACCTCTCTCTCAGAAAGATGCACAACTCTCCTGTCGAACTATTGATCCAAATGCCAATCTTGCCGCATTTCATTCCAGTCAGGAAGAGAAAAATTTTGTAAGTTTCTGTTGCAAACTGCTGCATCGAATAACCATTTAAATTTCTTAAAGCATTGGAAATCAATAAAACTCATACATGTCTTAACTGCGCGACCCTGCGAAATAGCATATTCCAACTTATGTTCAAAATTAGGAATTGCATGCAAATATTTGAAGGGGCTACTAGTGAGATAATACCCCACACATTTTCTTCCTTTAAAGTAGTCAATATCTCTTTGAGAATAGGATGAACTAAGATGAGGTAGAGTTGAGGATACTGATCGGATTGAAGTTATCTCTCTGGAGTTTGCTTCCCATTGATAGCTTTTTATTATTGCATATGCTCTAAAGTGCGACTAATATTTTCATTGAAATAATGCTTCTTCTCTATAAATGTTTTTTTTCTTCTAATTTTCTGGTATTGATAATGTGGTAGTGGAAGTCTTTCATGATTGAGTTCGAAATTTTGTCATTAAGGACGAGAAAGATGATATGAATGCTATTGAGCATAAGATGGCTGACAAATTAAGTCACCTTCTAATCTTTCCTATTTGACACAAACGTGCTTTGTGAACTTGGTTATTACTATTATTATTAGTAGTAGTAGTATTAGAAGTATTTTTTATACCAAATAGTAAGCTTTATGATATTTATCGTTAGCCCCAAGTCAACTACCTCAAACGAAATCATATTTTTAAACGAGGATTCTTTATTTCTCTCCCTTCTTTTTATCTAAGGTAAATATGGACAAGTGCTATCCTTTTTAGGTTTCATAGTAAAGGTATTATACGCTTTGTGACTTCAAAGTAATTCCAAAAGATCTTTTGTACGCAAAAAACCTTTATGAGTGGATTTCATTTAATTAGACTATCTTCTCCTTTCCACATGCAGTTGAATTTGATGTCGTCTAAGTACAGGAAGGATGCCTATTGGATGGGTTTGATGCAGTCGGATCTCGAGTACAAATGGGTTGACTCTAGTATTGTCGACTATATGCCCAAATTTGGTGTCAGTGTTGAACTCTCCCATATATGGCACATTCAGGATTGCTTTACATTTAATGTGACCTCCAGTGCCAACAATCCTACGTCTCCACTGAGTAAGTAAACAGAATAGTATTTATTTTTGAACCGTAAATACACTATTGTTTTAGTGGCCAGAGGTAGTTGGTCGATATTTATTTAACCTGCTACGTTTATTACAGAATTTGAACTAGGATTGATAGGTGTAGAAGGGAATATGGTTGGCAATGCTCTGATATCATCGCAGGTGTTTGACATCTATGACGTTTGAACTGTATCGGGTGATTGATTAGCTGCTTGAAATCATGAGTATATGCTTTTAATATTTGTCACTATTGATCGCATCTCTCATGATTTGATTGGACAATTTGTCCTAAATAGATATAAACCACTTATTTGATCTGATTTGTACAAAATAACTTAAAGTGTGCATTACCTTTTCACCTACAGACGTCACCTGGCACGGATCTGACTGTTCCACGAAGAGGCCCTATATTTGTCAGCTCTATCGAGGTGAACATGGACCCAACTCCATGAGACCAGCCCCCCTTGCCCCAGCTGATTCACCAATAATAAATTGTCCTGAAGGTTATTTGCAGCATGAAGATCGTTGTTTCAAGGTAAAGTAGTGCTAGCTCTTATACACCATTTTCAATAAGGTGTCCTCTACAATATACTGCATGATAAAAGGACCAAATATCTATTTAAATTTTCAAATGAAGAGTTCGGTTAAGAAAGGGGCATGGGGGGGGGGGGGTGTGTGTTATGGTAAAATTACAGCATAAAATTCCATCTGTAAATGCCCTCATGGGAGTGTTTTGGGGGCTATCTTTGGCACTATTAAGTTGCATGCTTTCCGTTTCATCGATATACGTAAATTGAGAACTTTTGCGATGTTCTTTAAGTTTTGGAAGCCAAAAAGTTCGGTTTAGCCAGGTCTAGACTATAAGAGGGAAATTCGTTTAACATTGACCTGACGGCTCTTGAAGAATGTTTAGAGGCAATGCCATGATGCAACCATATTTGGTTGCATACTTCCCTCTCCATTTTGGGCTGGAGGGATATCTTAAACTTCTTCACAAAGCCTTCATAAGAACTTTAGGTAACCGTTTTCTGCCCTTCTAGAAAGTCGTTCAATATCACTCCCCAACGGACCTAATAGCTTTGAACTTGACATCCTCAGATTCGCCTTTTGGATGCCACTCTTTTCCATGACTTTTTCAATGGATCAAATTGTTTGATCCTGGTTTCATCTCAGGTTTCACAACGTTTAAACGAATTATCCCCATTTGATTCCATCTTTGCCAAAGTTTCTTAAGAAAGTTCATCTCTTTGGATCAGTTGTTGTTTCTGCAATGCCTTTTGTACCCAACGCGCCAAGATTTTTAATGGGACTTGAAAATGTTGTTTCGTGTGCAGATTCCAACTTCATTGTTAATTAATTCGATGGTAAATCGTTGGTTTTATTCTACTAGGTTCTACACAAGAGAGGTTTTTTCTTGATTCCGTTCTGTTGCGGTCGCTTCCTCGTGGGTTGGCATCCCTTTCTCCATTTAAAGGACTTAATCGATTCATATGGGACTGCTCTACTTGGCACAGTCCCTATTAATCTATTGTAAAGCTTTTATGATCTAAACAGGTTTCAAATTTTGTGTAGTTGCCGAATTAATTTTAGCCTTGACGTTAAAATTTTCCACTTGAGAGGTTTAAAATTGTTAGCTGTTTTGAGATGCAGCCTGTCATGATAAACCTGATTTTATCTAGGTTAGTCGGACAGTTGTATGCTATTTGGAGTGGTCTAAGGGCGTGTTTGAACTTGTCTGTTCTTGTTCTATTTACTGCTATAACATTTGTCTGGGAATTTTTTGACACACCCTCGTATTATATGATGGAATTTAGTTAATTAAAAGTTTCTTTGGGCTATTTCGCTCTTTGTTGTCAGTTCCACATTTAATATGTTTGCTTATTTATGCCAGAGGTCATAGGTTCTAAATCTATCGATTCGCTATCCAATCATTTGATTCGATTACAACAGCTATACTTCCTTTCTCTACATTTAATTACTATTACATTTTCAGTTCTTCCCAATTTTAACCTCTTTCGACAAAGCCGAAGAAACTTGTAAGAAAACGGTCGGAGACCCCGCTTTCATCGGTTCACTGGCTAGAATTTCGAACTCTCGAGAACAAGGCAAGTTCAAGCACATTTTCTCCTTCACATTACCACTTTCCTCTCATGTTCGATTGTTTTTTATAATTTATTTCTTCTGGTAACGATAGATTTCATCTCTGGTCTGTTTGCTGCTCAAGCGCCGAATCAGCCCAGTACAGCATGGATCGGTTTACGTCAAGGAAGAGATAGGCAATTTTGGAATGATGACTCTGAAGTCACTTATGCACGCAGAGATCTCGAATTTCCTGCTCCGGTTGCGCATAACTTGGAACTAGGGGAGGAAGATGACCGCTTAGTAAGTTTATTTCATTTTTTTTCAATGGGTAGGAATTGGCGATTGAAAGGTAGTTACTTGAACTCTGTTTTGAGTTTTCTCTTAACAAGTCAGCAATCAGATGTCTATCGATGAGCACCTCGAGCGAGTGGAATGACCTAATGTAGTAGTTAACGAGGTGGTGGTGGAATTCGTGTCTCTCATCAGCGAAACTCCAAACCGCTGGTTATCTAACTGGGATGGGCGTCAAGAATAGAATACTTTCTTAAATAGGCTTAGAAAGTTAGTTCAATTTCGTTTAGTTGGAGAAGTAGTCCATGCAGGTTTCGTCTTCCAGATTGGAAGTGAGGAGATCAATGCTCGCCAGTTTATTTTCAGTGATATGGATTTTCCCCTCACAATGGCTAATTCTGGTCATTAGGAGGAATTTTGGATTGCTCTTTTCTCATTATAAAAATGCTCATCCTAGGGAAATGCTTTTTTCTCATGGGTTTAACTTAGATGAGGTAATTTCATTTCTATCTTGGCTTTTTATTCATTCTAGCGTCATTCCGCCTCGAATCCTTCAAAAGTTAATTAAATATTTTACTTCTTGAATATATTTCTTAGGCAGGGTAGAAGGAGGCTACTTTTCCCACTCTTTGTCTATTCTTTGATGCACAACGCCGATTAGGGGTGAATTGGTAATGAGTAGAACATTTCGTACTGTATAATTCCAGAGTCGAGCTAGAAGAAGACGGGGAATTTCTGGTTAATGAGTAAATAGAATTTTAATTTCACATTTATTTTCTCTTTCAAGTGTACTGTTATGCTCTACTCTTCGAATGTGCATTTCAACGGTCTCTGGTCTCGATCCATCTGCTCAGTCAATGATCAAAATTACTTCATATGTCAAGCAACTCCAGTTCAAGCGTATAGTGTCAGCAACACTGAAGCAACCAACGAGAAAATGGCGTCTAATGGAAGTGGACTAGCGGAGAGACCCCACTGTCCACTTGGCTCAACTCTTGGTTTCTACAACCACTCAGCTAAGGCCTTAGGTGAAAAGCTGCGTCTTCCAAACTGTCTTCAGCTTGTTAGCTTAAAGCCTTTGGATTGGAAGGTAATTCTTTGCCTTGTGGAGGTTAATGCTATTTTGGGAGTAAGAAAGCACTCTGATGGATTGAGGGTGTAGGGATTAGTGGAGTGGGGGGGGGGGAGGTAAGTAGTGTCAGCATTCAGATCATTTCAAGTCATGTTGTCGAGTAGATAAAGGAGAAAAGCAATTTAGTGCTTATCACTAACTGGCAGTCCCTTCACCTATCTTGGGAGGTATGTTAGGATAACTAGTGCATATTCATAAGAAACAGCATAGCTGAACCAATGGTACTTCCCTTTCACCTATGCTTGTACAACTTGGTTAGCCAATAATACAACGAATTCCCAACTGGGAGGACAATCGTTGTGCGTAATTTATGAGGATCGATTTTCGCTCATACGATTTGCATGGATTGTGCTCAGGATCCCAAAAGCGTTAGAATATTTATCTATTCAATTATTAGAAGTAATAGAAGATAGATTCGTGTTAATCTTAATACCCGAAATGGAAATGGTATTCTGGTTGGAGGTTGCGTAATCACATTAGCTTTTATTATGAATTAAGACATCCTAAAATGAGGCACTCAAACTGAGAGGTTTGTTTCCCTTACAGCATCTGACCCCGCCATTTAGCACTTTCCTTAACACGTGTTTCTTAAATCTGGTGGTTTAGTATCAATGCTAATATTCCCCCAACCGCACGCTCTTTTTGAAGATGTTTTCAAAAAGACCAATGAACGAACATCTACGAGTTGAGCTCAATGATAGGTCGGATAGGTCCGTTAGCGGATTTTGCCTTGAGGGATAGGGGAAAATTGCCCACTTTCACTTTTCAGCACAATTCAACCTTTCCTCCCTTTTGTTTAGGATGCTCACGAACTCTGCTCGAAGCAGTCCGCCACTTTGCCTTCAGTTGATACCCTGGCGGATTTGAGTTTCCTGCGTGCCTGGATGGTGATGCCCGAATCCATTGGGGGTGCGGGACTACCTTCCAACTCTTCAATTTGGCTTGACCTTAAAGTTGACAAATGTCCTCAGTGCTATTCGGTGAGGCTTCGTTTACCAGCATAAGTCTGATTAACCACCCGAAATTACCATTCATTAACTCATTGCCTATTATACTAACTATGATGCTCACAGTAATATATCGATAACCATAAAGCCTGGAACGGCTAGCTTCTCATTCTAAAGCAGCTTAATTTCCACACTCTCAGTGACTAGATAGATATAGAAATACTGTTGGGGAGGTTGTTGTGGGGTTACTTAATTTTTTTTCAGTTAATCCTCTGACTTTTAGACCATGCTTTCACTAAATAATTAACGAATGTGTTTATTACCTATTACTCTTGATATGTGTCACCGTCATAGTGCTTGCCTTACTTCCTTTCCTAAGTTATATGACATTGCCAAAACCGAGGGTTGCGAAGGAGCATCGATTCCAGCAAATAGCATACTTGATCGAAGTAAGCCAACTTCCATATTGAAAATGCAAAATCCATTACGAGGTTGCGGACAGCCAATTGATTTTCAAGGGTCCAGTTAATTGCCAATCACATTGAGAAAACTAAACTTATTGTGAACAGTTACTGGAATGTTCGATCTTCATCAGTGCTCACGATTCATCGCTTGAAGTGGTGTATTTCGATCTAAATGGCTGTCAATACTTAATATCATAATTGAAATTTTAGCTGTGGATTACCTTGCTAACCTTAAGCTCCCTTGCACACTTGTGAAACCTCTAATGACCTAATCTAATTAGAGCCATTGAAGTGCCCAATAGACACTTTCGGGATCATTGCTCTGCCTCAATTTACCCCAATTAACAGTGACCTGCCTATGGATTAGCTTGTACATTCGCCATAAGTATATACTCACAAACCGGACTTTCACCAACACCCGCAATCTACTTCATCTTCCCTGGTCCACTCTCGAAGATGCGTTGGTTGCAACTCTCTTTCCACACTAATGTTTTCGTGGGAAAGATTAGTGCGAGGTAGAGGTTATGACTTACGGAATAGCTCATGACCCAACTCAGTTGGCTTAGCTGCTTTTGCTTTTATTGTTGGCATGAGCGCACTTTTTCCTCAAGGTGGGCACCAGATGAATCCCTGTTTCCTTAAATCCACTTGGTAATTAGAGCAAATCCGAGGAAATAGGGTGGGGATTAAGAGAGAATGGTGTGTTAAAAATGTTTGCTGATTTGTGTATTTGTTTTAATTTAGCTAATCGGGTCCTGTTAAATGCTTGTTTCTTCCCACTAGAAATATTTATATAATTGGTGGGTTGCAATGTAGTATTGGGCACGAATTGCATTTTGGTCCTCAGTTTAGTCAAAAATGTCTCGATTTTCATTTGTGCTTAAACGGAGAAATCCTTTATCCGTTTAGTATCAGCCTGTAGATGTGTTTCTTTCCTTCTACTCCTTTGTAGATTTGGATGTGACAACTTTTTTTAAACACAGCGTCGCCTGTTGAGGCTTTCAATCAGAAAGTTGGTGTTAAGTATACAGCAATTATTCTAATAAGACCTGACATTCCACAGCCCAAGCGTCTTGGTCTTTCCTCCTAATCCTTTAGTTTTTTAAGCCCTTGACTATAAAGTTATCGAAATCGTAGTCCTTTTTTTGCTGATTATTGATTATTGCGATCGCAATTGATCAACCAACATGTGTGATTAAGCAGCTAGTTGTGCCATCCTCAGGTAGGTACGTATTTTCTTAGACTTCACCTTCTAGATTTCTAATTAGCATTATTAACATTTGCCACTATGTGGGAAGCTGATGTGGTTTTTAATATTTACAGGATTGGACCTGGCACACTGGAAATGCACTACACGAATCTCCTGTTAAAATAATTGATTGGTTCAACGCTCCTTCGGATCCTTCGGGTTGTTATGTCTTCACAGCAACGCCAAATTTCGATTCATTATCATCTCCTGACAATCCAGCAGCCCATCTACGGTCAATACGACCCGCGATTTCATGCACTGCTCTCAAACTACCAGTAGTATGCCAAGTGCCAGCTAAATTCCAAAAAATTACTCAAACGTCTTTCTCGAATGTCTCGGTGATGAAACGCGATGAAGGTCGGTGTTTAAAGAATCCCACTCCGGATCTCTCAAACCTGAAAGAATTCATTACCAACACTAGTGTGACTAAATCTGGTCGGAAGTGTATCAGGTAACATCAGTTGTTTTTGTGATGCTACTTAATTTCGCGATATTCATACTTTTCTAGACTTCTAGATTCACCTGACTTGTATGCTCTTTTTTGATTGAAACGTGGCTCAAATTGAGTAAAATTAATTTCCTATGTGACCTTGAGTTGCGATCAATATAATTTCATGGAGTTTGATTAGCTACCTGTTCAGTTGGTAATAAAGCCTGTTTCAATTGGAAGCAATTGTCAAGTACCATCATCCATTTATGACGTGCCAAAAACTCGAATTATCTCGAGTTTGTCTGAGCAAACTTAGTCGAGTGCCTTAGAATGCAAATCCGGAATCAACAGCCAAACGTGACTTCATTAATGTCACTGAAGATTTTTAGTCTGTTATTTCGCGAATTGTATCATTAGGAAAAAATAGTAACTACGCATCATTTTTGATTACTCTGTTTCATTTTAGGTGGGATCTGGTTCGATATAATTTCACCGGTTCTGATGCAGTTCTTCCACCAAATTGGAGAATATTCTCGACTGAAATCGCCTACGATATTCACGAGAGTCCTTTCTGGTCAGATAAGTGTGCGCACGTGATAATGCAAGATGCGGGAAGTCCCGGAAAGACTAAATATCGTTACGCATGTTATACTTCAACTGATCCTGTTCACGGCCTCGAAGACTGCGAAATGGAAAGTTGTGGAATTGCACTCATGTCTCTTGGTTGGGTTATCTTCCTCACTTTGGCTTGCTTGACTCTCTCCGTTCTCATCACAGTGTGTATTGTTCGTGTGAAGAACCGCAATCGCTTCTATATACATCAGAACAATATCCGTTGGCTTTCGCCCCTCAAGGTGACTTCAAATAGCTCTGTATTTGGTAGTTCAGGGGCTACGGAACAGCCCCATCAACGACAGCACAGTGTCCTCTACAACGGCGGTGGAAATGATGATCCCTCAGTGAAAGTGTTTGGTGAAGTACCTTCTTTGGTAGCGACTAACCCATCTCTCCTTCACTCCCTTGTTCCATCATTGACTTTCAAACCGAGCGCTTACCGACCTCTTCATGATAGAGACCCACTACTCCTTGACGAAGAGGAAAATGCTGATGAATTCTCGGGTCCTGTTTAGACCTTGATGTGGTAATCTATCAGGCTGTGTTCTATCTCAACTCTCCCTTCTCTTTCATTTATCTTTTGAACCTCCCTGTTTCTATAGCATCCCCTTCTGGTTTCCACTTTCATCCTCTCGGAAAATCTCACTTTCTAACTGTACTGGGACTCGCCTTTCCTCCTCTCTCTACCCTTCTGCCTCCTCTTATGTACAACAATATGTGTTAAAGTAATCGGATTAATTGGATCGGTTTTTTAAATATAAAGCTGTGTCGACACTGATATGACACTGGCATCTTATGAACGCCACTGCTCCCTACTAGCATGGGATAATTTTAGGAAGACGTTTGAATTAATCGGATTTATTGGAAGATATTCAAGAAATGCGGCAATTTCACTAGCTCTACATTCGCCTCATTCATGTTTATTGTGGGGAGCAATGAAAACGCCTAATATGACCTAAGATATGAGTATATAGGGTCAGTAAATTTGAGGGAACTAAAAGAGCATCCAAAATTGATTCATTGGGTCAAGTTATACGCGCTTTTCAGTTTGGATATTCGATTTACCACTTTAAAGCTAAGTAGTAAATATATATATATATATATATATATACGCGCTTTTCTCACTTGGTGCGAGTCCACTTCTTCATGTTCAAAGTTATGAAAATTCGTTCATATGGTCATTAAATCTGGATTTCACTGACAAGTTGATCAGTTTGGATATTCGATTAACCACTTTAAAGCTAAGCAGTAAATATATATATATATATATATATATATATATACGCGCTTTTCTCACTTGGTGCGAGTCCACTTCTTCATGTTCAAAGTTATGAAAATTCGTTCATATGGTCATTAAATCTGGATTTCACTGACAAGTTGATCAGTTTGGATATTCGATTAACCACTTTAAAGCTAAGCAGTAAATATATATATATATATATATATATATATATATATATATATATATATA